CTCGAGATCGCAAGTTGGCAGGAAGAAACCGGGCCGTGGTCGTCAGCCTCCCTCAGCTGTCATGAGCAAAGCCAAACGCTAACACGTTGAATCCATCGAAAGAAATGAGCCTGTTCATAGTGCGCCTGACCGCACTGCTGATTTGACAGCAAAACGCACTTTCAGCGGGTATTTTTCAACACTTAAGTGCGCTAGACTTCAAGTTTGCAATTCTATTTCAACCAGCAGTAGTGGCGGGTCTTTTGAGAGATCCAGTATGTTCTTACTGTTGACTGCTGACTTCTAATATCCTCAATAGCATAAAGTTTGTACTCATGACTATTTAACAGGAAAGACTGTTTATTCTTGATACAGCCTAGTGTTTGCAGTTAAGTATGTCTCTGCATTTTCCAATTTATGAGTATACTTTTTTAAGTTAATTAATGAAACAATTATATGTAGCAATTTCAAGTTTTGGCAACAGCAGTCCGACTTCTCCTCATCATAAATCTCTTTGAAGCTAGCGTTTCCCAAGGGCACACTTCGCCAAGATCCTTTTTCTTGCAACACCTTGAGAGGTGCAATTGCATTCATCACATCTCTTTTGCATTGTTCCACGTGTTCATTTTCTGTTACTCCTGTCATACCAGTGCTGTCAGTTGTTCTGTGCATGTGTGTAACTCTATGTTGACTGCAAACGAGATGATGAAATCAAAGTTAAGAGCTCAGGGGCTGAAACCAATGAGGGAGGCTGTCTGTACAGGGACAATAATTTAGACTGGATGTCTACCTGATATTTCAGTGCTTTATTTCTCCACAAGATGGAAGCCAAGACCCTTGTCTAACCCAGAGAGTCCTGTATGGCTTTTACTGGAGGACTGTGCATGCAGTGCTGTGTTGTGCAAGCCATAGGGAGAAGCTTGTGAAGAGCAGCTGCCTCTTTCCTTCCACATCCTAGTACCCTTTCTTAAATCTTGTAACCATGCTGGTTTATCAACACTACTTTCCTAGACCACTGCCAGTCAAATAGAAGGCTCCATATGAGACCACATCTAGAATTCTGGGTTTGTCCTTGCTGCAAGGAAGGCTGTTACTTCCCTTGCCCTGACAAATTCTTGTCTCACATTCTACTTCTTACAAGTTAATACAAGTAACAGTTACTGTTGACTCGCTGGTGATGCTGCAATCAGCTGTATGCCAGTGAAGGCAAAAGGCTTTCTCTGTACGCATTCAGCGCTTTTGATGCAAGTGGAAGATGGTGAGACAGATAAAATATTACAGAATGGGGAGATGGGTCAGTTTCCTGTGATGATTTGACTTCTTACTTGAATAATAAACTCTGCAGGATTTCTGCACCAAATACTGGGTTTCTCCATGTATGCATTGTAGGGCAGGGTAGACTTCGTAGCTGTCTTTTCAGTTCTTCGGACTGTACAACCATGCAGCTACTTGCTGGCTTGTGCTGTGAAAAACAATTCTGCCCATCCTAGCTTGACTGGTCCAGAGTGTACTTGTACTCTTAAAAGAAAAAAATTATCTGACTTAACTGGAACTCAATGAAACACAATTATATATTGGGTAGGAAAGGGAAAGGTCTTTTTTTGCTAGGAAAAAAAAAAGTAAAACAAAAGAACTGAAATTACACTTCTGCTGAATCCATTTTCTTTTACCATTGAGTTGCTGAGCTGAAAAATACTACTTTGCAGTGAGGTACTTCATTATACCTGCACAGCTCAAAATCATCACCCCCTGCTGTGGCAGTTTTTCTTTTTGCTAGTTACGCAAGTTGCCCTAAAACTTGCTTCTACTACTGCCACACTGCACTGCACATTTTTTGGCCAAATAATCCTTTTCGCTCTGTTTTAAATCTGCCTAGTGATTCCTGATTGCTGGGCTCAAGGATTATCACTGTCAAAAAAGACCAATGTAGTCTGATGTATTCTTAAAGCATTAAAAGGTCCCTTCTTTATACGTGCCCACGATTGCCTGACATGCAGTAATTCAGCTCACACAGGCTCTCTGGCCACACCCAGTGACTCCATTTCTCTTTATTTTGCAATTTCAGGGGTTTAGGTACAACAACCACATTCCTAGCACTGCACAAATCGCACTTTCGGTACTAGATCACACACACCCAACATATGTCACAGGAAAGATTTCTGAAAGCAACATACAAACAGAGGGTTCAAGCCTTTAGCACAATGAGCTCAAACTACGTCAACATAGCTGCATTTTTCTCCAGAATATTGTGCTTTTTTTCTTAGAACTATTACAAATTTGAGACAGAACAGAACGAAATTACAAAAGCATTCACTAGTGTCGTCATCCAGCGAATTACAGTGCAGTGGGCAGGTACTTGGCTCCAGTTTCTGACATCAGGAAGTCTCCTCAGTCAGAGGAGCTCATAGGCCTACAGTAAAGCCATAAAACTTTTCAGAATTTCCACCTTACGACAGCAAACTCTCTATATCCACCTAATTTACATTTACAGACATCATTTGCAATCGCTGTCTGGAGCTGGGGTGCACAAACAAGTGTATGATCTTAAAGGCATACAGAGAACGTAATTTCACTGATTCACAGAAGCAGTTCATCTGTTTCAGAAAATGCAAGCTCTGTGTGGGGCTAACGCACACACAGTTCTGCACACAGACGTAGAAGTTTTGTAATTTTAGAGATGTCGGAGGTACAAGGATATTTGAGATGTTAACTATTAAAAACCGTTCCTCCCTTCAAAGAATAATGCAACAAAATGCCGACAGAATAACTCCACTGGGACGTCTTTGCCATTCTTCATTTGCAGTCACACTTTATTAACCAATCTTACTTTTTTTTTGGTCGTGGTTGAATCTGAAACCCAAAAAGCTATCCCACACACACCCCCATCTAGCCCAAAGTTTTTAAAATTAACAACAAATTGCAGAAAGACAATCTAATCATACTTGCACTAATATTTACCTGCACTCACATTTAGGCTCCTGCCGTTTTTACCTTTCTGAGACAGCACTGATGACTCTTGCTCCTCCACCCAGCGCCAGCCAAGAGCAGAGGGAAACACAGATACGGCTGCAAGGCGTTCGCCGCCTCCTCCCCTGCCTGGCAGCTTTGACTCCTCCACATGCTCTTCCTCCATTTAGGGACTTGACACACAATCCATCCCCCGTGCTCTTGGCTCTCTGGAGGACCTCGGTCTGTCAGACAGAAGTATCTTGCTTTCTGCTCCATCGTACAGAAAAACTGAGGTCTGTGTCTAGAGGGCAGCAACAATGACTCAAAATATCTGGGGACAGATTTTTTTTGTGGTTAGAAAAAGTGTATTCTTGCTTTAAAAGGTTTTTCTGTCTCCATTTTCTTTTAGACCTGGTCCCTTCTGATGGGTTTTTATGTTTCCCCGCATTTCTTGACAAAAAAAATCTCTTTCTGCAGTAGAGGAATTTATAATTAGAAATGCACTGAAATAACATTTGCAACACTACACAATTCTTTTTCTTCAGTGTAACTCACATTAACACGAGGTGCACTTACGATATTTAGTCAGGTTATTTTTTTTAAAATTATTGGATGAAGAAATATATAATATTAATACTTCAGCACATTAAACAAACATACTGATTTCCTACAACAGAGACTTCTGCCATTGGACTATATGATAATGCACCACCACAAATGAAAAGATAAAATTTAGTCAGGAAAGGAGAAGGACATCTCTAGCACGAGCAGTTCTGCTGCAGAGGGGGTGGGTTGTCTGTGAGTCGCATGCTCCTTCCAGAAGTGCCCCTGGAAGGGTCTGATTCTATACTCTCCGACATCTTTTCACAGATTATATCCACAAGGCGCTCAAACACCTGCCTCACGTTGATGTTTTCTTTGGCACTAGCTTCAAAATATTCAAAACCTGCGAGAAAAAGTGAAGGGAAAAAGAAATCAATAGAAACTGATGGTAACGGACATGTTTTCAAAAATACTAACCATTTTTTCAGAACTCACCTTAAGAAAATAAGAGATTAGACAATTCTGAAACTCAGTTGATTCCCACAATCTCAGAATACTGACCAGAAATACTTCTAGAATTTGTCAAGCTTCATTAAGAGTCAAAGGCATAAATGGATCTTTCCCATAGCTCTGCTAAACACATCTGCAGATGACACAGATCTGAATCAACCCATGGCAAGGGAGTCCAATTCTGCCCCTTACAGCAGCGAAGGCCCCCTGGGCTGCAGCAGCTGATGACTGGCAATGTATGGAGGGGCCTCCCTGGGCTCCATGCACCCCTGTGCCACAGGGGCAGGCTCCGTTCCAAACCACTGCTGCAGCCTGGCTAGTGCAGAGACCAGAAAGAGAAGCAAGACTGGGGTTGTGTTCCTTCTGCTGGCCAACTTCTGCACCTGGGAGAAAAATGGTCTTATTTTTCCCGTTTTTTGTCTCTTCGGATGGAAAGCTCTTCAAGATTAATACTTTGCGCAGCACAAGTCACAGCAGGGCACCTGTCCTGACAAGCATTATTTAGCATTGCTGAATTACAAAGTAATGCTGTGTGCCTCCTGGCAGCGCCCAGCGTAGCTGCAGCGATGAGGACGGATTCTCAAACACTGACCCTTTCTGACTAAAAACAAACAAACAAGCAAACAAAACCCAGCAGGGCTGGAGTTATGCCACGACAGCTCTTCCTGCTGCCTCCTGTTGTCACCCCATGCCACGCACGAACCAGCCTTCTCACAGACAAGCCCAAACCCTGCCTCAGCCAGCAGAAACGTGCTGAACTGTGAAGCATTTCTTTATCTTCCTGACCCCACAGGTCTCAAAGGCCAACCATCACTTACAGAGGCTGCTGCTTCTGTTCTACCAGGTTATTATATTACCAACAGTGAGACCTCAAGCGCTGCAGAGAGTTTATTTTGCAATAAGCTACATTCTATTGTGCGTCATTCTGGGGATATTCTACACTGCATCGGTTTTCTTTGAATTTACCACAGACGAAGGGAAAGATAAGTCATCTTATCTGATTAGTCCACCACTGCTGGCTGGCTGAGTCATCTTCATGGGTGAGAAAACAAGTGGGTATCTGCCCCATTGTAACACTTCAGAAAAACCATGGGACAACGGGTGAAGTGATGGTGGAGATGTTTGCCTTATTACTAAATAAGGGTGGCTGTCCTGCATCAGATGAGGGTTTTCTCTGCCCCACTTGCTCTTTGATGATGAATAAAACTGTGTATAAAAGGCACAGGAAATCCAAGAACTGAACTTAGATATTTGTCAGTCCAACACTGGTTTCTGCCGTGGCTGAATCTGTTTTGCTTACATGTTCAGGCCAATAACAGTTTCTTAATCTGATTAGGAAATTGTTTCATTGATGTTAATGTCACTATACAAACTTAGATAAACACGCTGAAGGATAACCTTTATGTGAATCATTATGATGAAAGCTAGCAGTTTAAGCAGTCGATAGTCAATTAAAGAGATTCCTCACACCTAAAGTAATTTCAGATAATGCATGTTAGCACAGGAGTAACTGACTGATAAAACCAGATACATATTTTCAGGCCTTTTAAAAAGTGCAGTAGTATGTTGGGAGGCTACAGAAGAGGAGGACTGGGATGGCACTTTCCAAAGACATGGTCAGTTTTTGTTTTGCTCTGCACTGGGCTATGTTTTATGCTTCACAGCAAAAACAAAAGAACACTAACAAAACCCTCAACTAATAAATACTCATCTTCTAAGATTTAATCATAATGGGCAATTTGATCAAGGTCACACTTTAAACTACAACACTGTATGCAGTGTATACTGGAAGTCCAGTACCCCCAGTTTAACAACGCAGCCTCCAACTATTGCTTAAGAACTGAAGACAACATAGGATTTTATAAACTGGAGATGATGGCGATTTCTTTGGGTCTTGTAAGAATCTCTACTCCTAAAAACTAAACAAGTATTTACAGTATGCCCATTGTAAGGGTCTCCACTGTTAACTGAATTCCATTTTAACAGGATTTACTTGCCACTATGAATTCTTCAAGAGAAGACAATAGTATAGATAAATCTTAACACAGAAGCCCTGATTCCATATTAAAAAGAACACACATGCTATAATATATAGTGAAAAATGAGATATTAGGATGAGTTTATTTTGCTGTTCATTCTAAAATTTTCACTGCAATCCCAGCTTCCTCTTAATGCAACTGTTTTTCTTTTTCTAGCCCACACCAATAACCTCATGTAACTTCCTTACCTGGCACATTTAAAAAATGTATTTTACTCAACTGTGGAGTTGTGATTTATAAACTTTTTTCATTGTTTAGTTGCAAAAAAAATTCCTTCAACAAAAAAAAATCAATGTTTGCATTCTGAATATGACTGCATGTACTTAGAGACCTGGAGACAGAACTGTGTTTATGAAAACTTCTTTTCTCTTCATTCTGATGAGCTAATAAAAACTGTTCTCTCCAGACAAACTTTATCTTCCTTCGGTAACAGCTTTACAGATAGAGCAACACTACAAGAAGGTAGTATTCAGTACTAAGCAAGTAAACTACAGACCTAGAATATATTACTCTTCTCAGTTGTGATACCGTGATTGAAGTATTACTGCTGGAAGGACTTTTCATCATACAAACTAAAAGGAACAGAGTGTAAAGATGCAGAGGAAAAAGAGTAGAGAGAAAAGCTTTGATGTGTACCCAGCTGATCCGCCAGATGTTTCCCCTTCTCCACAGGAACAATTCTTTCATCCTCCATGTCACATTTGTTTCCGACCAGGATCACTTGTGCATTGTCCCAGGAGTACGTCTTGATTTGCGTAGCCCTACAGCAGATCAAAAAAGACTGTTACTTTCCACCAGCTGTGCCAAAATACAACTGTATACGAGGTATGAAAACAAGTACCATTAAAGACAGCATCAACACGGTATGTGGGTTAAAAGACAGACGACCAAGCTTACACATAAAGCAAGAATGCAGACTATGTCATTTATAGCACCATTCTATTTCACTGCTCCTCAACTTTGCGTGACAATGAAGTTACTTGGTAAAACTTTGCAAGTGTTTTAAAGATCATGAGATCCAGACAAAAAGCTGAATTGAATAACTATGGAAGTTTAAGGGGAAAAAGGCATTCTTCTAAAGCTCCTTCTCCTTCAGCTGTAATGTCAGAAGAACAATAATTACACCTTTTAAGGATATTTCCCCTGTAGAGAAAGCCATACAAACCACACTTCATGCTAGATTTACAACTTCTTGTAAAACACGTAACAACAACAATTCAGAGCAGACAGAAAAGATGCTCATTTGCTGCAGCATTTTAGTAACACCATAAGAAACTGTGTTTTGAGAGTCAAACAGATGGAAGCATCAAGTCGTCTTCACTTGAAGAGGAAAACAGGCTCATGGAGACTGAAAATTGCACAGAAATGTGGAAACTATTCCTAAAGAGAAAGAGACATTTACCAAATTGGGAAGATACGGGATCAAGGTAAGGCTCTGTTTGAACCAGCAGGATTAAGTGATACCTAAGGCAGGGAACAGCAGACAGACGGCAAGTATCAGACAAATGCTAACTTCAGTGACAGGGGGATCAAGTGCATGGGAGCTTACACTGGAGCACTGGGATGAACTTAAAAGCCTCTGAAGGTCTCTGTGGCTCATGTGGTGAAACTGGGGAGTGGAGCTAGCTGTGGATCCCAAGAGCCTGACCTTTCCTTTGGCCTTTTTATACTTTTTCTATGACAAAACAGAAGATTTTTTTTCTATTTATGCTGAGCGGCCAGTCCTTTCCCACCATCCTCGGTGAGGTGTCACAGAGTCAGCAGCAGCACAGTATTATATTAGCTTGATAGCGCTCATTTTCACCCATGTTTTCAGAGTGGCCCAACCTATTTTATCTTCACCAAGTCAGCTCTGTCGTTTAGGTCTCCCTGCTTCCCAAAGGTAATTAGGCTGCTCTGCCAGAAGCGATACATTCCTTTCCTCCTCCAGTCCTAAATCACCTTCCCACTCCTTGTCCCTGCTCACTGCCCCTCCGTACAGGATGCTACAGTTTCAACCAAACCTGCCATTTCCTAGGAGAGCCAAGAGTCCCCTCAGATTTGAATGCTGTTTAGTTTGCTTGAACTCCCTGAACAACAAAGCACCTGATTCCTTCTCTTTTGAATTAGCAGCAGCCTCCAGCTCTGATCTGCTAATGATAATTTTTAATTAGTTTGAGTTGCTTACTTGCCTTTTCCATGGAAAGCAGTCAGTCATGTTACTCCACAGGTATCTATGAAAAAGGGGGTCATTTCACTCTGCTGCTTGCCTTTAAGCAGCAGTCTGTTTGGATTGCACTGGAAAACATAAACCTAAATGAAATGCACAAGCCCCTACCCGTATTGCAACACACAAAAATAATCAAGGACTTTGTGCAGTGAAACTTCTTAATCTTAGTGTCCTCCTGGAAAGGCACTTGCTCCAATCCCACTTTTGGCTCCTCCACTTCCACTTTTCTGAGTGCCTCCATGTAGACAAGCACTGTGAGAGCTAAGATGAGTCTGTGATGAGTTTATGCAGGACTCTGGGGTTTCTCAAGGCTCATCACAGAAAGGGATGCCCTCAGAAATCAACCAAAGAAGATGAAATCTCCTCAGTCTCCCTCTATAAGCAAGCAAGAGAACCTTGTCCAGGTTCAATTTAAAACACCTATATACAGGCTTCAAGTCTGACTCCCATTCCTCGCTCTGGATTAATTTCAGCCCCTGAGGGGTCATGTGGGGACACACTGCCAAATCTTAGCTATTTAAACAGAATTACTTAGAAAATGAAAAAGAAGAAAAAAGCATGAAGGACCATCCGCAGACATCCATCCATCCCCTTGTTTTGTGCAAGTTAGTGAAAAACCTCACTTGCAGAACACTGCCATTTGCACTCACTAGCAATAAACACAAACAAACAGAATTTATGAAGAAGAATGCCTAAAAGAAACTCTGATCCCTGTGCAAAAAGAAAGGCAGCAAATTTCCAGAAGTTTTTGGAAAGGGAAATAAGTAAGTAAAAAGACTTGTGCAAACGAGATGTTTCAACAACTATCAGGGCAGTCCATTATGCACTTGGGAAAAACGCATTTCTGTGACACAGTAACAACGCTTCGTCTTATTTGTGCTGAATTCCCCAAATTAACGATGAAGTATGGGTTTTACGCTTCACACTTAGAAGAAAAGCAGTCTCAGGTTCACAGTCACACAGATATATCAACAGTCTAATGTGGAGATCAGCCTTAAGGACAAAGCAAGCTGATGAATTGTGAACCCAGCTGTCACTGAAATCTAAGTTAAACTGAGCCAATTTTTTCTTCCCTTCCATGAAATTGTCTAGGTTGTCCAAAGCAAGAGTTTCCATAATATTTTCTATTTACTTCACAGTATCAAATGCTTAGTGTATTCTCGTTTCAGTACAGTTTCAAAATAGGTATAAACCACTGATTTATCTACACACAAAACTAGCAGGCCAATGTCAAATAATAACTGTCAAACATGTCTGCAAAAAAAAAATCCAGAAACTGAGTTGAAAGTCATGAAAGCTCATTTAACCCTTTTACTCACTCTACTGGAAAGACATCTTATTATTCACACAAAATAATTAGCTATGTTCAAATATCAGGTAAAAATCCACCTTTGCTTTTGACCATTTATGCTTTTTCTTCTAAAATAACCTGACTGTACTCTTGCCACGCTGCAGTGAGGAAAATCACTCAGGCTTAATCTTTTAAGGCTTCTCAATCTGCTGTACCTTTCCCAGTGAAGGAACAAGAGAACAGGTCATGTCCTAGAAATTCACAAATGCATGTAAATTGTGTATCTTTCTCAGCTGCTTGAAGATAATTACCATTAATTGGGGTGATTCATGTGAATGAAGGAAAGACTAACTCACATTCACATACTACCTTGAGAGCTTGTCCAAATACCTGATACACAACCATGTTCCTTTTCATTCAGGACAAAGAGTGCCTTTACTTGATTTAGGAGAAGGATTTCTGGAGTGACACAAAGCAAACCAGAATCCTCTTTAGGACATCCACCCATGCAGTAAAAAGATCACCCAAGGAAGAAATCATAGGGCAGGTTGGGAGAGATGTTCTCATTTCCCTGGAGGGTGGGTGAGGCCAGGTCAGGAGGCTGTTACAATAACCACATGCCAGCAAGCCAGACGTGAGAGGTAAGTTGCACCATAGCTACGTGGGAGGCAGTTTTAGAGGGGATGTTGGAGCTTCATGAAAATACCTGGAGAATAATAAGGCTAGTGAGGAGCACAACCTGCTGTGGCAGTTTCCCAGCTAGAGGGAGGATATAAGCTCTAAGATGCCGGAAAGGTCTAGAAGGGAAAAGACTTTTTTCTGATGGAGAGCTGACTTTGAGAGAAACTTTGAGAGCTGACTTTGGAGAGGTTACCTTCCCATAATTTCAAGTGTAATTATGAAGATGAATGTCGAGATCTATGTACATCCCTGTGAGCTCAACTGAAGGTAAGAGCTTCTCATGGGCAAGAGCTTACTTGGAGTGCTAGGTGCTTGGTTCAGCTGTTTGTCCATGCTTTTGGCTTGTTTTCTGTAGGGACCTCTGCAGGAAGAGATGGTACAAAGAGAAAGCAGTGAGATGGGCTGAGACTCACGTTGACAGCCTGCTTACATAGCATCTTAAAATACCTGAAGCACTCAACAGCAAGAGGTGGGGCACCTGCAAGAAGGAACAAGCTCTGGACTGGACCATGTCCTGCTGTAAAACACAGAGATGACTGCTGCGCACAACTTGACCCATCCCAAGGTTTTGTGAACGGGTACAATTTTAGGATCCAGGAGTTATGTTGAGGTGGGAAATTCTTACCAGCCAATGAGAATGGACTGGGGTGAAAAGCAGCCAAAAGGGGCATCACTTCATATTTTATTTGCTGATGATTTTCTTGAAGTATCCTTCTACGCTTGACTGTATTTGCTTTATGAACCCAGTCGCATGATCACATGGCAGATGGCTTACTCATCTTTTTATGCCCGAGAAACACTCAAATTCCATCCACACATGCTATTTTAGAAATAACTGGGAAGGTTAACAGGTTCCTTACTGAATTTAATTCACAATAACAGAGTTCTGCTGATTTATTCTCAATGTCTAAAAGGTCAGCCAGTCTGCTGCACCATGCTGCATTTAGGACAAAATATTAAACTTAACAGTATTCTTTATTTACTGGATACTGAAAAACACATCACTAGCCAGCTAGGATAGCAGGACACTTAAAAGACAGAAAGGATGTATAGGATTAATTGCTGTAATTTCTGGAATTTACCTGGGATGAGCTTTGCTGTTGGCTTTTGCATATATTCTAGGTGGATGCCCCATCTGATTTCAGTGAGGGTTGATGTATGATCTTAGAACCAGCATGGTTTGTCGCAGCCTCACCTAAACGTCTGCAAGCAGAGAGGCAACTCCTGTATGGGGCCACACACCTTCCTTGCAAAGCAAAAAGCAGCTGGCAACTTTGCCATTTCCTGGGAATCTAGGAGCAATGCTACCGAGGGTAACAGCTTCATTAGCAGAGAAAAGGTGGTTCAGGCACTTGCCCTCCCATCAAATCATCTCACGTCCCAAATACTGGGGGGTCCAGCCCTCTCGCTCTTACAAAAGTCCTCCCTCTTGGGCAGAGCAGGCAGAGCAAGAAGGCTGTCCTCGCCACACGTGATGGACGAGACAAGGCAGGGCTGAGCATCAGGGGCACACTGCTCACTTTGCAGCCTGTGCAGCTTCCCAATTGCTGCCCCTCCATCTGCTCACCAACACCAAACTGAAGCACTGCAGGACGACTAGGGCTCCGTTTTTATCATAAGGCATGCTGCTGCTGTCTCGCACTTGTCCTGAGGAAGGGACGAGGCTCATGGAGATAAAGGCTCTGAGCTAAAGGAGCTCAAGTAGTAGACACTTTAATTTTTCAAGGAGAGTGCAGTTCTCAACTGAAGACCAAATCCAGTGTAAAGGTTTTTTTGAAGTATAACTGTATCACCCAGCATGATGGAAAAAAACCCAAATATCCTACCTATTTGCTATGCTAGCAAATGGCAGAGACTGATGCAGCAGCATCAGACAAAAGCTTTTGTCTCAATTTCTTTTCCCTTTGGAAGTTCATAAAGCAATTTTGCAGACTGGGAAAAAACCACCTCTTCGCTGCATTGCCACTAGAGGACTCTGGTGGCACAGCAATGCTGGCTTTGCTACAGTCCTGTCTCCTCTCCTGTGGACAAGCTTCAGAGAGGATGAGGGTTGAAGCCACCGCAGACATTGTTGTCTCTAACTTGAAAAGATGCGGATCTGATGGATGGACCACTCCATGGATAAGGAATTGACTGGATGGTCGCCCTCAAAGAGTTGGGGTCAATGACTCAATGTCCAAGAGGAGATCAGTGACCAGTGACAAGTGACGTTCCTCAGGGATCACTACTGGGATCAGTGCTGTTTAACACCTTTGTCGGCAACATGGACAGTAGGATCAAGTGCACCTTCGGCAAGTTTTCTGACAACATCAAGCCGTGTGGTGCAATCAACACACCAGAGAGAAGGGATGCCATCAGGAGGGACCTGGACAGGCTGCAGAGGTGGGCCCATGCAAACCTCATGAAGTTCAACAAGGCCAAGTGCAAGATCCTGCACCTGGGTAGGGGCAATCCCAAGCACAAACACAGGCTGGGTGGAGAATGGCTCGAGAGCAGTCCCGAGGAGAAGGACCTGGGGATGCTGGTTGATGAGAAGCTCAACATGAGGCAGCAGTGTGCACCTGCAGCCCAGAAAGCCAACTGCATCCTGGGCTGCATCAAAAGAAATGAGACCAGTAGGTCAAGGGAGGTGATTCTGCCCCTCTGCTCCGCTCTTGATACCTCACCTGGAGTAACTGCATCCAGCTCTGGGGTCTCCAGCATAAGAAGGACATCAAGCTGTTGGAGTGAGTCCAGAGGAAGGTCATGAAGATGATCTGAGGGCTGGAGCACCTCTTCTACGAAGATAGGCTGAGCGAGTTGGGGTTGTTCAGCCTGGAGAAGAGAATGCCCTGGGAAGACATTATAGCAGCCTTCCAGGACCTGAAGGGGGCCTACAGGAAAGCTGGAGAGGGACTTTTTACAAGGACATATAATGACAGTGCAAAGGGTGATGGTTTCAAACTGGAAGAGAGTAGATTCAGATTAGATACTAGGAAGAAACTATTTACTCTGAGAGTAGTGAGGCAGTTGAACAGGTTGCCTAAGGATGTTGTGGATGCCCCTTCCCTGGATGTGTTCATGGCCAGGTTGGATGGAGCTTTGAGCAACAACAGGGTAACAAGCAGAAACGGTTGCAAGACATCTGATGAGAGCCACTGAGGTACTACTTCTGAGGACAGACACAGCTTTTCCCCTGCCTCCTCACGCCTTTTATTTCCTACACAAAGGCCGGTGTCCCTCTGGGAGGATGCCAGTGTCAATGCCCTTTATTTCCTACACAAAGTCCGGTGTCCCTCTGGGAGGATGCCAGTGTCAGACCTCAAGTCCAGAAGGTCCAGCCTTCTGATTACCTGTGCTGTACCTACGGCTGCAACCTCACAGCAGCAGCTCAGATGTTGTCACCTCAGGCACCGTGCTGGGACCCTGCTGAGAAAACACCTCCCATCAGCTGCCACTGAGGGGACTGCAAGAACTGCCCATGGCCACAGAAACAAGTGCTCTGGCTCTGGGAAAACCTCTACTCTCCTTGCTCTGTACATGTGCTTGCTGGAAGGCAGGAGAGCAGGAAGGTCTGGGCCACAGCTCCGCTGCCAAAATCAGAGCAGTGTGGGGCGAGATGGGACATTTCTTCCCAAGGAAGAAAACAGGTGGCATGAGCTACAAGGAGAGCCCCCAGCTGGGAAGAGGGAAGTGCACACCAAAATTCTGGGGAGAGGAGCCTGGGAGCAGTGCAGCTTTGGTACCGCCAGGGAGTTTTTAAAGTGACTGACCTGGCGCTTGTTTTTTTTCCCCCACGGTAAGCCAAAAATACTTACTGGGTGTTTTTGTTTTCATCACAAAGTCCAGACATCATTTTCTGGTGTTTCTGCATTTGTACTGCATTCAGTGAAGCCAGAGGAGCTTGTAACAGCTGAGAATCCATTTCATGCCCAGTTTTAGGGCTAAGTCCCCACCCTTCCCATTTAACAGGTAACTCCTTCTCCCCCACCTCGCCACTCCACGCTGGGCACTGCCTTACAGAGCTGCTCAGCTGCTTTCTGCAGGCTGTGGTAACAGACAGGCCCCTTCAAGGGGCACATTTGCTTTCTGTCCTAGGCCTTGTTCTTCCTCCTCTTATTACAACTGCAGCTAGTTTAAACTTCACAAGTTTTGAATGGTAAAATTAGATTTTTAATTATCTCAAGTTAGGCAAGGTCTACACTTGTAGGTTCAAAAAAAATACCACTTTTTAAGGCAGTTTGGAAAGATTTAGCCTTATTAGATTTTAAATGCGATTTGACTCGAACAACCGCTTGTTAAACTCAATTGTTTTAGCAGCGTAGCCAGAAACCACGTAGGCCCAAAAATGTATTAAAGGATTAATGTCTTTACAATTAATTAGAACTTTTAAAAGCAACAACTGCTATAGTATGCTACTATATTTGAATTATTATGTTTTCATTAAAGTGAAGCTGCAGAACCTTTTCTATGGAGAGTTTGAAAAACAAAATACTTATTCCACAGTTTAGATGAAGAGGAAAGAATATGGTGATGCAAAACACTGTGGAGGGTGGGATGTCTAAGGTTCTCAAGAAACAATCGTGAGGAGAGAATTGGCCAAAAACCACACAAACCCAACAACAGCAATATTTCATACCAGTCCTGCACCGCGTTGAAGGAGTCTTCACTGGTGATATCATACATGAGGATGAAGCCCATGGCTCCTCGGTAGTAGGCAGTAGTGATGGTCCTGTATCTTTCTTGCCCGGCTGTGTCCTGGAACAGAAAGGAAAATTCGGCTTTAAGACTCCAGTTCTGAAAAGCAGGAGCTGCAGTTAGGTTCTGTGTCTAAAAAAAGCCAACCACTTTTTGTTAGTACACATTTTTTAATTCTTATTGGCTCCCAACTGAAGTGAACTCTACTTACATTTTAGCATTAATTGGGCTTTTGCATCAAGTATGACTCGTTAAATGCATTTTGACACATGTACTATTAAAAAAATACCAGAGATGTCAACTCTTTAATTGCTCTTCTCTGCCTCAGCCTCAATGCAATAATAAAATGCTCGCAGAGTTCACAGAAAGCTGACACTTCAAAGCAGAGGCAACAGAAAACAGCCCAGGACTGTACCAGGCAAAAGACATTTACGTGTTGCAATTTAGAGTCACAGTCAGGAAAATGTCCTTGAGACAGATGCTGCAGGTGACTCGGTTCTTACCTGAGGTTAGAGGCGACAATTAAAGACTTGATGCCATGAAAATTATTCTACAAACTGAATTTAATGTGGAATATCCCAGTCAGGATGGCTGAGGTACACATACTAATCTCAGATTCACTAATCCTCTTTCGTTGGTTCAGCTTAATTCTCTTCACCAGTAAAGTGCTGTAGAATGCCTCTACCTGCAGTTGTCATTTCTGCGTTCAGCCCGACAGCACAAAGGTGAAACTCTGGCATATACAACAGAGTAATTTCAAAAGACTTGTGACAGCTGGAAAACACATCAACCACCATCTGTTGGGTACCTGCTCTTAAACTGAGGAATATTCCTACATCAGATCAGCATTTCTGCAGAATTTCCTTTCCCTCTAGATCTGTCTTCTAAACCAAGGAGAGAAGTCAGGTGCTGAACCTATCTCTTATCCAGGAGGTATCTATCATGTGAACAAACACATTTCATCCATCTTTTGGCAAATGGCAACTCTGTGAAGCAGCTGCAGGGAGGCAGAAACATTACCTTCAAAGCATATGTTCAGCATAAGGTGTTGACTGGTAGTTACTCTTGCGAGTTAGCAGTTCTGAAATGAAGGGTCCTTTAGTCATCCAAAACCCACACTTACGAAAGCATTTACTGCCACTGGTGTAAAATGTGATTCTCTAGAGAAGACGACCCTAAAAGGAGTTATCAATCATACAGCTAGTTAGGAGGGTAAAATAAATCCATGTACACTCTTGCAGGAGTACAGATCCAGTCTCTGATCAGACACAGCACATCACCACAACCCCAGAAAACACACCAGGTGCAGTGGGTGGGAACTACCCAGCTTTAAAATCCTCCCTTCCATCATTCCCACACATGCAGCTTTGGCTTTGCTGCATGCAAGAGACAGTGTTGGCCCTTCGAGAACACACGCTAGCCAGTCTCTGAAAGGGAAGAACATCAATGAGTGCCTGTTGTTCTGCACCGGAATATCACAGAGCCTCCCTGTAGGAGGAAAGCGCTTGTAAATAAACTCCCTGCAGCTTGCTTAAAAGGTTCTGCCTATTGCAGTACCATGAGACTATCCACAGCTGTAACACACTGGATTTCCCAGTGGACAGATTATGCAGCAGGACTCTTGCTGTTTCTCCATCTATCCTCTGGAAAAAAAAAAAGAAGGTATTTTTACTTTAAACTTGTGCATTTGCTTCAAGGCAGGGTAGTCCACTGCCTGATCACAGCGAGGCATTGCACACTGCCTGAGAAATAGTCCTGTTTCCTCCTGACAAGAAGTACCAGAGCGAGGTGGACAACACCTTGCAACCTCAGTGGCCATAAATCCATCGCAGAGCACGCTTGTGCTGACACCACATGCTCGCTTAGCTTGAACAGCTAAACCAGCCATGCCAATAAGTCCTAAATACACTTCTTCAAGTGGGGAAGGTCTCAGCAGAAATAGTATTATTTCTGTTTATTCAGAGAGACATGATAGTTGCTTTATTTTAGCCTGGTTATCTAAGGACATGAGGGTGATTAAATCATCAGTCTCCACACATGCTCATTGTAACTCTACTGGCTTTTGATCAAATTTGACTCAGGGGAAATGCTCTCCAAGGTACATTCTTACAAATGTCATGAAAATAGTTGGTAAGGAAGAAGAGAGACCTTAAGCTGGGGAGAAAAGCTGAAGTACATTATCATTTTCCAACACCAAAGGATCCACAGGAGAGAGGCTTTCTTCACGCCTCATTAGGAGAAAGGCTTAAATCAGTATTAGTAACTTCTCAGATCTTGAAACCAACAAAAAACCCAAATACACAGGAAGACTGGCTTCTTCAGTTCTTATGCTCACAGCATTACTGTTTTACATCTGCGTTCCCATGTTCTTCTGTATCCCAAATCTCAAAGTCTATTTTGTGCTCTGTGTTTAACTAGCACTCATTCCAGCTTAGGGCACGAGGCTGTGACCAGGCAGTAAACGACTGCAAGACACATTGCCCAGCTACGCATAGAGCAATTTGGAAAGAAACTACATTTGACAATGGCTTGTAGCACGGAGCTAGCTCTGAGGATGTACCTCCAGGCTCTCCTGGGAAGCAGCCTCAAGGGACTCTGAGGGTGGCTTCCAAAGCCCGTGCTGGTACCATCTCAGCACCTTGGCTCAGTAAGGAACTGCACTCAGCCCACAGAGTGGGTTCATCTGCGTCAGAGGTAAACTGTGCCCAAAAGCTCTGAAATGTAATAGTTCTGGTTTGTTGATTTCAGCATTCTGCCCGCGAACCCCCCGTGTGGAGGGCGGGCTCCAGTTTCTGTTAGCTGCAGGAGGTACAGACCCCAAAGGGCTACATGCATTTGCTTAGTCAGAACCTGTTCTCTGGTGGACAGTGCACTTACCTCACTAGGAAAACAATTTACATATTCATTAGTATATACTTAGGTGCCTGCCTTCTCAGGTTATCAGAGAGGGTGTGTGTAGCTGAAAGGCATCCTATATTTCAAGGTATGTAAAGTTTATTCATAACCTTGCCCTGGTAGGGACGTGGTACAACGCAGAGAGGTGATTCATCTGTGAGTCACCGATGGATTCCTCGCTTTGTTTTACTGTACAGGTACAAAGCACGTCGTCTCCCCTTAAAGGTTCTTCATCGCATTTCTCCAAACCCATCTGAATCTTTGTAGTATCACCCTGAAGCAAATTTTTTCCTCAGGCTATGTTAGCATCTTAGACAGCTATAAACTGGCTTAATTCTCTTGACTCACACCATATTTTATGCTAGCTTCACTGAAGACCCTCCATACCCTCCAGATACTTCAACATAAACAAAACAAAACAAACTGCAAAATCTGAGCTCAGCTTCTTCAGCATTTACAGTAGCTGCGCTTACATCACTTTAAAACACCACAAACCTTAGGTAATGTGGCATTTCAGTGTTTTCTGTGCAAGACATTTGTCTAACGAAGGAGAAAGTAACTGACGCAGATTGCTTCCCCTCCCACCCCCATGTTGTTTGCAAGATTTCCAGGTAGACCACAACCTCATTAGAAGACAAGGAGCTGGAGCACAGGCAGAAACCCGGTACAGCTCTAATTAACACTCGAGCCTGGGAAGAACAGCCTGAGCCTGCAGCACCCCGAAGCCTGCCTGGCTGTCCCCAAGGAACATTCGGAAAGCTTGGTTGTAACCAAGCATGGAAGGGGCTCTGTGAGGTGTATTTACACCAGCGTGCTAACAACTCTCTCATTTTGTAGCTTATGTATGTGCCTGTCCTTGATACAAACAATTAAACCCCCCACAGGACCATTAGTTGGCAGCTTGAAACAAAAATGTGAAGGTTTCGCATTAATGAGCAGTCAAAATCCAGTGTTAATCACAGGAGAAAAAGACCTAAGAGCATTTGCATTATGTGCAGATGCCCTCTACTCACAAGATCCATCACATACACATTCACGATAGGAACACAACCGGCTTTTCGTCAATTTACTTGTCTGTTTCCGCAGAAACATATTTGAGTTTTTAAATCACAACAGATGATCTTTGCTGCAGGTCTGAAAAATCAGAACCCCTGATTCTGAACCATCGTTGTTCCTCTGGTGAAGATTTCCAGCCACAAGTTATTTGATCCAAATAAAATGTCACTGAAACTTCTCATCTGTACCAGATTTAATCCCCTCTGCAGCAGCGTACGTGACAAGCAACCTCTAAAGAAATAAACTTTTCTATTTTTTTAAAGGATTATGGTTTGATTTTGGGTTTTTGGGGGGGGAGTATGGTGTTGTTTAGTTATTTTTTTTTAAATATTTAAGAATAAGTCACCTGCTGTCCAGCTGGTTGATGACGATTACCAAGGAGCATGTACTTAGCACCATCCTTGCTTAGGCTGCTCAGAGTCAGAATAGAGTCTACATCATCCTAAATAACCGGCAACAACCACAGTTTTGGGGCTTCATCAGCTGTAATGAAGGAGAGACCTCTTCTTCCCTGATGTTCTTCACATCGTAGCACTTACACTGTAGCATTTCACACTTTCTTTGGAGTTCGGTCAGCCTTGCAGACAGCACAATCAACTTCATGGGCTCATGGTTATAGCAGCAGCAAGTTGTTCGATATTAAAGTGTCAGGAAACATCTGACTCCCTACAAACACAGCTCAGCTCTCAGCCAGAATGGTCACTTCGGCTCCTGTTCTCCACAAGACAGCAAGAAATAAATAATGAATAAGCAAGAAATTAAAGGCACATCCTGAAGGGAAAGGGCTGTTTGTCCTGCTACAGGCCAACCTGAGGCTCAGTAATACTCGACTCCTTTCCCTGCTGCACAGATGAGGAAACATTCGCGTTCACATGGAGCTATGCTGGTGTCTGTTGTGAGCTTTGAGTCCGCCATTCTGCCATCCATAACCTCCATCCCCATCTCTCTTCCCACCTCCAGGCAGCTCTCTCAAGCTGCTCATGCAGCCTGTCCCATCCTGCTGCCTAGCCAGGTGCTCAAAGCAGCACTTCCTTATCTTTCTGGCCTGTTGCAATGTCAAGTGTTACATTTCTCAGGACAGTTCTAGTTGTTTTGGTCCACATTGTTGA